GCAGCAACCAAGCATGTGAAAACTGCCTTTAATGTCAGCAATGAAGCAGCTGGAGATATGACCTGTGGAAACTGTGAGGATCACCTGATGGGGGCAGGATCTGCTGTTGCAGAGAGAAACAAAGAAAGGCTTTGCATGGTAGACAGTACTGTGATGCCAGCCGGCAAACTGTCCAAGGCCTCTGTGACACCTTCTGCAGGTTCTTTTGTGAGCTGTAGTGTGGTGTCTAACCCTCTTACCACTCCACATAATGGCCTCTTTTGCACAGGTGATGACTTTGATGATGATCTGTGAGAAGTTTTGGGCTCCAGCCTTGACCTTCTTGCCTCACCACCCTGATTGATGGGGGGGGGTTGCTAGCCACTATTCTTGTTTAAGTTGTATTAAAATAGTTTGAAAGAGCAGAGCCCTAGAGTGTTCTATTACTGTCTTGAGAAATGGTCACTTATGGTTCATTCTAACAGTGTGAGGAAGGGATGTCTTCATGCAGTTTATTTTCTACTGGAAGTTGGAGGGCTAAAAATCTGTTCCCTTGATCTGGGCCAAGTTGTTGTGCTTATGCGTTGCTATCTCTACGAATCACAGTATTTTTAAGTGTTTTCTTTTTGAATTAAGATGCAATTCTAGAGACTAGAGTCCCATCCCCCCCCAAGCTTGTGTTACTTGCCTGGAGCATAACTTATTAAAGGAATTATTTTTGGACTCTTTTCACAAGCAAGATACTCTCTGGTAATTCCTTGTACTCTCTGAAAAAATCTCTGAGGAAGGAATTAAAGAGTATACTTCTCACTGGCTTATGTTGCCACTACTTTTATAGCAACAAGAGCCTGATGATGCTATGCAAAAGGCAAGGCCTATGGCTTCTCAATGAGAGCCCATAGGTTCACTAAACCGGTGGCAGGCAAAATTCAGCCAGTGATGGACTCCCAGCAGCAGCAGCTCCTTCTGGCTGCTGCCACAGGATGCAACCCTGCTGCTTAAACACCCCAGCCCTGTCCTGGCAGTGGGCACAGGGCAGAAGGGCTAAGAGATCCCTAGGATCTTGGGATGGTGACATAAGGTAAGGTTGAGGCAAAGCCACAATCCACTGCCTCCATGCCCCTGCAATAAGCATGGGTTCTGTGGGCAAGGAATAGGTTGCAGCTGTCCCAATGCTGTGATCCTGGGGTTTGTGAAGGTGGGGGCAAGGGCTGCCATGAAATGGAGTCTGACAGTAGGCCAAATTCACTCTTAAGCAATTGGTGTGGTGGAAGTCCAATCAGCTACTTTGTGCTGTGCATTGTGGGAGTGACACCAAAATATTGTCTCCTGTGTGGATCTGTGCTTCTTGCATCTTGTCTGCAACAAGTGTTTCTGTAGTTGCAACAGCACATAAGCATAGGGCACTATCATAAGGGGGATAGCAAGACCAATTTTGGTACTTGCCAGAAGTGGTAGGAATCAGCCTGGTACGTCAGTACAGGCAAGGTCTTGGAATGTATCCCTGTTTGTTATAAAGTTGGTTCCCTTTATGCAAGTTTAAGTTATATGTGCCATTTTCCAGGAATGGATGTACAGTATACATTCCTGGAGGAAACCTGTATATCATACCTAAAGCCCCTTCCCATCATGATAGAAATTCTACATAACTTAAGTTTGATGTGTTCCCTGTGTGTTAGCATTAATGCATTACTAATTCCACACGAGTAGCAAGACTGCAAAAATCTCAGATAGACGCAAGTATTAGGACAGTGTGGTAAATTAAAGGCAGGAAGTGATATTTATTTGTTCTACTGCACACTTACAGAAAGACCAAGTACAGACACAAGACCCTTGCTAGAGGGAGAACAAGTGTTGAGCTGTCATACCTACAGTCTACCAGAAGCTGAACTTGTAAGTACTTTAGATTACACAGCAACAGTGTTAAGAGTGCAGTGGTTGCTTGGAATACTGGATGGCATCCAACGCCGCCCCGATGTCGCAGTTCTTTGTCTGCAGGAGATGACTGAGCCATCCCCCTTCATCTGAGAAGCCCATGGACAGCATTTGGGACAGAGATTCTATCAGGCGAGGATCTGCTTCTGTTAGTCAAAACAGAGTTCAAAGGGGGTTATGACTGCTGTTTAAAAATCAGCAGAGGAGGGAGGGATCCCTCAGAACTTGTGCAGTAAAGTCATTTAAAAAAAAAAAAAAAAGCAGCCATATAGCAAGTTAAATGGAAGGGATATCAAAGACATGTTCTCTCCACCCTTCTCCTGCCTTTATGCTTCCTACAAGTGAAGCCATCCTATTAGACTAATGAGGCTGTTTCAGTACCTGCTTTGAGTTGATACTAAAGCACTCCATTCCATTACAGATAAATTACTACATTTTCAAAATGAGGTAGAATAGTTCCTTTTTAGTTGGAGTAGCTGGCAGCTTAGGTAATGGGAGCTAACAGCAGGAGGGAGATTACCAAAATGGCTGAACAGGTGTCAACTGTTCTCAGGTGACCTAGATTTCCACCACCCCTTCAAGCACCCCAGAGACAGCAGCCTATCTGCAACCAATGCTTGCTCCTGCAGGTTTTTTTTGTATTGCAGTTGAGCATTAGCCAGGGAAGTTCAAGACCTGAGGTCTTCATACAAGCAAAGCAACCCAAATGAATTGAGGGGGTATGACAATAGGCAACTAACACTCACTCCTGACCTGCTTACCTGGTGGGAGATGTGGGTACAGTGCAGCCTCTCTCAATCCAGTAGGCCCTGGTGTAGGGGGAGCCTGAGATGGGTCCAGAGAGCTGGGACCATCTGTCTCTGGCATTTGTAGAGATTGCAGCTCACCTGTTGAGGGATCTACTTCCTTTGAAGATAAGTGGGTCCAGTCCTCATCAACCGCTGAGTTGCTACTGGAATCGCTCTGTTCCAATGACTGTAAAGAAAGAGGGAATTAGCCCATGTTGCAGAGTTCTTCATGGCAGAAGAGAGTCTGCTGTTATCCAAGGTTTCTGCAGAAAGGTTCTCTCACTTTCCTTTACTTGAAGTGGTCTGTAGGATTGAATGTTAAAAATCAGCAGCTACTCGGACAACTGAGTTTTGTGCCTTGAAGCATTCCAAGCAGGAGAGTATGAATAATGGCCTGCTAGTAAAAATATCCACTGTAATGCCACTTAGTTTGCAGGCGCAAGAGTTGGCTTTTGGCCAGACATGCATCTTGCACCTACAGGATTGAACCCACCTTCATTTCTTATACCTGAGACTGGAAGCTGCTGTCTTCCATCTGTGCCGGAGGAGAGTCAATCACCATCTCCTGTATCTGCTCTGCAATAGCATCATTCTCTAGAGCAGGTTCTGCGCTGCTCCCTTCCTGTTTGGTCTGGCTGTTCTGAGTAGTGGGACTGCCTGCAGAGTCAGCATCACTCTTCTTGGAGCTAGGGCAGGTAGGGGTCACTTTGCTTCTTTGTCCTCCATGTTCCACATCAATATCTACCTCAATGCCTAAGAAAGGTGGCAGAGGGAAAAGGAATTAGTAAGTTAGCATACAAGATACAGGCCTGTAAGTCCCCTGAAAGACAGCACATTTGTTGGAATCTAGTTATTCTGAACTCAACAGAAAGTTGTTATCTTGTTTGACATTTCCCCATCTGCAGGGTATTTAAAAATCAAAAAGAGAAAACATAAAAGCACTTTGAAAAAGCTAAGTGAAGCACATGCCAGCTATTCCTGTGCTAGGAAAAAGCTGTTCTCCATTCTCATTTAAAAGGATGAAGCAAGCAGCTGTTATATGCACTCACACATGGGAGTTAGATGCAGCCTTAAGTCACCTAGTTAACTCAAGGTTCTTTTCAGTTAAATGCTGCCATTTTACCACTGTGTAGTATGTTTCTGCAAGAAAGTGAGAGACACGACACCCTCGGGTCCTTATGGTGGGACTGGAGCAGAGGTAAGCCACTGCTCCTGGTGGTACAAGATAGGAGCTAGGCCCAACACTGATTTGAGAACTGCGAGTTAGAAAAGTCACTTACCCAGGGGACTCAGAATGGCTGCAACACTCTCCCCAACATTCTTTAGGAAGGTGACATTGGGGTCCTGAGGTTGGCTGTTAGTAGAGGGTTCTAAAAAAAATAATTTCTGTTAATGCAAGACAGCAGGTAGGTGCCAAACACACACTTTCCTCAAGGGAACTGAAGAGGGGTCTTGGCAGTCTTAGACAGTCCATTCCACCCACCTGTCCAAGGGAAGTGCAACTCAAGCAGGTTTGCATTTGAAATGGAGGAGTGCTGGTGCTTTCTCCTCCCTCCCATCCAGCCTACTCCACAGCAGCAGCAGCAAACAACAAATCAAACCTTTACTGGCCTGAGCACTTCATTCACCAGAGCATTCCCTTCTTACCTCGCTCAGGGGCTGGATTTTCCGGTGCAGTACTGGCTTGTTCCTGCCCAGAGTTCTGGCATGGAGCTGAATACCCCCAGCTATGCAGCCAGGGAAAGGGAGGAGCACCATGCCTCATCTTGCGTAGCCAGCGACCTCGTGGGAACCACTGAAAGAAGTTGCAGTGTCATTTGACCCTATACATGGATTACATCTGGGACACAAGTCACATGACACCATGCAACTACGTGCAGTATCTGGAATTTTAAGCTCCTCTGTGGGTACCCCCTGCACCAGTCCCTCCCCATGGCAGAAACACTTTGCTCACCTCAAGTGGACTCTGGAACATGACCATGTTGTGCTCCTTATGGAGGCCTTTTCCCTCACAGGTGCTGCACAGGTCGTAGTCTGGACAAACAGTACATTTGAACCTAGCACCCACCACTGGTCCCTCGCAGCCATCGCAGATGACATTGGGATGCACCACGTTTGGGGTCTGCTCCTGGCTGCACTGCGGGCGATGTTCACGCCTGCACTCCTTTTTCTCTAAAGGGTGAGAGTTTCTACATTATAAGGAAGCTGCCAAGTTAATTTTAAGCCTTTAGGAAATGAGACTCAGCAAATCTTTCTACATTTGGAGTCCATTAGCACATGGACCACACGAGCTTATCATCAGCTGAGTATGTCCACAATGCCAGCTTATGGGTCATTTGCATTACGCACACCCTTAACAGTGCCAGGATATCTGGGGACGAGCCAGCAGCAAGCACAGAGCTGGGGAAGAAACGCAACACTGAGGAGGGCAAAGTGAAACGAAGCCAAAGTAACCAAGTCAAGAAAGCGTACGTCCTCTTTGTGGAGATACTTTTTTGGACTTGTCACTGGACATGCTCCACACTGCACCAAGGAAGAATCTGCCCTTGCCACACTAGCTAGTATTGATGCTATTTGTATTGCTAGTTTCTAGCACTGCTAAACAGTCCAATTTTAGCAGGTTATGTGCCCCCAAGATTTCCCTCTCTGAAATAAGTGAACATTAGAGTTCTATTCTTATCCCGAGATGCATGAAATAATTATCAGTATTATTATTAACAATAATTTGAAGGTAGTGCTCAAGTAACAGGAGGTTCTCCATTTACTTTTGCAGAAAGCTAAACTAGGTTTTGTTTCTTTTTTTAGTTTTCTGGACTTTAGGGGGCCCAAAAAGTTTTCAGGGCTTCATGTTTCCAAATGAAATTGCTTTTCCCTGGCAAGGTATTCATTCCCTCCTGAAAGGGGCAAGTCTCGCTCCCTTTTGAGGCTCCCGCGCATCTCAAAAAAAAAAAATCGCTGCGCTAGATCTATTGGCCAGCCCACACCGAGCTGTCCTTGTTCCTCAAGCCTTTTCCGTGGGCTGCAGCCTCTACAGCGAAGACACCTGCCAAGCATCTGGATACACCATTGCCCGGCATTTGGCTGCTGGAAGAGGAAGGATGTCAGCAATCTGGCGCGGACAGAGCTGGGCCATGACAGGCGAGGGCCGGCTGCGTGCGCGGCACCCACGACACATCCCAGGTTGCCAGGCTTCTCTCGAGACAGAAAAAGCTACCTTTAATGTAGACACGGAAGACGCCGTCCTTCACGTAGGGCCAGGCCAGCTCCAGCTCCTCGTCGCTGGAGAAGGCGATCATGTCCCCGTCCTCATCTGCAAGAGAGCAAGCCGGTGAGCGACTCCGGCGGGGGGCCAGGCCCCAGGCCCTCCGCCCCCGGCCCGGCGCGAGGGGGCTCACCGCGGTAGTGCAGGCGGCAGGCCGCGCCGGCGCCGGGCCGCAGCAGCATGGGGAAGAGCTCGGCCAGGCGGTCGCGCAGCGGCTGGTAGCGCAGCGGGGGACGCAGGGCCAGGCGCCGGATCTCGCGCACCGCCTCCTCCTTGCCCAGCAGGTAGGCCTTCACCGTCACCGTCGCCGCCGCCATCGCCTCCGCCTGTGGCGCAGCAACAAGGGCCCGCAGCAGCGACAGCACCCTCCCGACCAGCCGCGAGCAGCGCACTCTACGGGCGGGCCGCCGCCGCGCCGCCTTATAGCGCCGGGGCGGGGCCTGCGTGGCCACGCCCCCTCGAGCCAGCCAGGCACCGCCCGGCAGCGGGGCAGCTGCGGGGAGCTGTCCGGGCAGGGCCCCCTCGTCAGGGACGGCCCCGGGCAGGGAGGGCTGAGGCTCTTCGAGGGAAAACTAGAGGCCACAAAGGCGTGGTCCAGGCATGCCCCCGGGCACGGTGGCGGCAGCGGGGCCCAGCAGTCAGCAGCCACCCGCAGGCACCACCGCAGCGTCAGCAGAGCTTCTGCCGGGGGTGCACCCGCGTGCCCCCCTACGCGTCGCCGGTGCATAAAGGCATCCAGTTTCGTATCAGCAGAGGACAACCGGACTGTCCTCTCTGATGGCCTCACGCCGGTGCTGGGGGAGCTGGAGGATGTTGCCAAAGGGGTGCAGAGGGTGAGGGGCAAACAGCCCCCACGTGTCTCCCGTCTGGTCTCTTGCCTCGCCACCCCAAGCAGCCCCCACTTGTCTCCCGTTCAGAATCAATCCAGAGTTCAGTTCGTGGGCCCAAGGGCTGTGCTGGAGCAAGGGGAAGGGCCTTGGCGGGCGTTAAAAGCCAGCCTGGGGGCTGCCAGGTCAGAGCTGGGTGCCCCGGAGCAGGGTGGATAGCTGGTCCACGACAGCACTGGGAAGGGGAGAGGGTCATTAAGGCCTGAGGACTGGAGAGTTCAGAAGGGATCAGGTAGGTGACGAGGAGCCATGAAGGCGACTGCTGGACTAGAAATGCTGCTGCCACGGCCAGGTACTTGGTTTGAAACTCTGGGTGGAACAGGAGTGAAAGGGGTGCGAGTGCAGCGGTGCACCCCTGGATCCTGCCCCTCCCCCAGCCCCTCTGCATCCTGCAGCAGCTTGTAAGGCTCAGGAACCGGGACTGAGCACAGTGTTCATATGCTCTGCCTCCCACTGCCTTTTTATCCTGGCACCCCTTGTGTGTTCACCACTCTGTTTTCCTCCCCTCTTTCTTCCTCTCTCATTCCTTCCAGCTCCCAGATTATTTTTCCTGTCTCCAGTGAAGGCCAGCAGCTTCCTGTTTGCTTAATCCTGCTCTTAAAGGACTTCTTTACTCCATGTCCCACTTCCCTGCATGCTGAGAAAAACCCAATCCATTAGCATGGAAGAATTCATAGGTTTGAGTGTTTAGAAAAAAGAAGAAAAAAGTAAGGGGGTTTGGTGTCCACAGAGCTCTACCACAAGACAGAGCCGCGTAGGCGTGACTGCTGACATACTTGTTTCCAGCAGTTCGTGTTATGGAAATATGATTCACTTCACCTGGGAGTGACTTATCAAGTCTGCAGCACTCTCCAGCAGCTGGCAGTCGGTTCTGCTATCCAGGGCTTGTCAGCAACATTAAGCCCCATTAGTGGAATGTAGCAACATCTGTCCCTCGTCCAGGAGCCTCCTACACCAAGGACTGAGTCTATTATTGATAAGTCTGTTTTTTAGCAACACGGCAGCCGCAAGCCTCCAGCATGGAGACACGAGTGCTGTGCCACAGCACGGTACCCCAGGGCCCTCGGCACAGACAGTCACATCTGTACCTCCATTCTGCTGTAAACACAGCATCCAGCATCCTTTAGCATTGACACAGCTACACTGCTCCCATCAGGTCACAAGGCAATATTAGTCAGGATGGCTTGTTGGGAGGGCCTCCAAAATCCGGTCTGCTTTATGAAATCCAAAAGATGAGTATGTTAATTAACAAGACCTCTCCATTTGTTTAATACACACGCTCTCCAAGGGTATGTCTACGTGGCAAACTGAGATGTTGTTATAGTGCTGGTACATTGGCATTAGCTTGCATCTTGCTACACAGGGCAACGCTCGCAAAGACATGGCACTGCAAACTTTAGGGTGGGTTAGCAATCCAACCATGTATCCAGCATTCCCCGCCGGCTTGTATGCTACATGAGCTTAGAATAATTCCTTAGCTAACAATCTCTCCTGAGCCTGAATTCTGGGGTTTAAAAATAAATGCTAGCATAAACATCAGTGACATTAAGGATGACGTTTTGGGGTCTTTCCAGGATTGTTGGCAGCAGTATTCACAGATCAGACACAGTTGACAGGATTCTTAATCTGGTCAGACAAGAGTCCAGCTGGCAGAAGATGCTGTCTGTACCTTCCAAGTAAAATTACATAAAGACAAATCAATTAGTACCAGGCTCTGGGTGAGTGTTAATTCCCTTTCATTTTGGAGGCCCACTGCCCTGAATTTTAGTGATATCATTCTTAACCTGTGATAATGGAGAAGCTTGAGAGGCCTTGTCATTAATTAAATTTTTTTTAAATTAAAAGATCTGATCTCTCTCTCTGTCTTTAAGATGGGGAAATATTTAAAAATATGTCTTTTCAGACCTGTGCTTTCCAGGTAAATCGATGTAGTGTTTGAAAATAAAAGCTGTCATTTTCAAATCCCAATGCCATATTTTTAGCTAAAGAATATTTATTTTTGGAGCAGTCTGAATTACTTGATTTTTGCTTCCAAGTGGCCTATGTTGGCTGATGTTACCAGTTTATGGCCATGACCACACTTGAAGTGACGGGTTAATGTTTAAACACATGAGCAGGAAAATGGTACGATGTTCATCACTGAACCTTTGACCAGGTTTGTAAACACATGTACGGTGCTAACAGTGCTAGACATTGAAAACACTGGGGGGGGAATAGGGACAAGTTCATGAGTCTTCCCATTTTTCCCCTCTGTCAGATTTGGGACTGATGAAAATTGCTGGCTTGTCATGGCTAATAGACTTGTCTTCTGTTTATCCATAGCATAGAGGCAGCATGGATAGCACAGGCCTCTCTGGCCGGGTATCCCTGACAAGGTCACCTCTAGTTCCTTCTGCATGTATCTTCCTTCTTTTGCCCCTATCCTGAGGCTGTGTAAGGGACCAGTTGTAAACTGGGCTCTTGCCTTCTAGGAAATGGTCTTAAAACATCCAATATTTTTTACAGGCACCAAACTGCTCTCCAGCATCAACTGTCTTGGGCCATTACTAACCTTTAGCCAGGTGGTGCAGAGAGGGTGCTTGTTCCCTGCAGCTTTGTTTAGGGCAGGGGTGGGCAAAATATGGCCTGGGGGCTAGATGCGGCCCACCAGGCCATTCTATCCAGCCCGCGGGGCCCCTAAAAAATTTAGAAAATTAATATTTGTCTGCCCCTGGCTGCTTGTCATGCGGCCCTCGATGGCGTACCAAAACTCAGTAAGCGGCCCTCCGCCCAAAATAGTTGCCCGCCCCCAGTTTAGGGGTTGGAGGCTTTCTCTCTCACATTCCACAGATGCCCTGAACACTTTTGCCCCTGATTTGTTTATGCACCCACCAAGATTGGGAAGGGCACTTAGTGAAAAGCTTCAAAATGCAGCAATGAGAACTTGAACACAATGAGCGAGCAGGGAAGGGGAGGAGAAACCATGCAGGGGTTTCCCCGCTCCTGCCTGGTCTGTGCTGAGTCATGCTAGGTTTGTTGTTGATGGCCTCCTGCTCCTTCCTAATTAAAATATTGCAACAAAAGCAAACTGGCAGTGTTTGTCATCCACAAACCCCTCAAAGGGCCCCTGCTTTTTGCCTACCTCATCCTTCTGACTCACCTGTATCCCATGAGCACTTTCCTTTCTCCTCCAGAGTCTCGGGAGCCTTTCCCACTGCTCCCCTTCTATCATTGTGTCACAGGAGCTGTGGTGTGTTAGTGAAGACCTTTCCTGAAGATGGTGTCGAATCCACATGAGACTTCTCCGCATTCACATTGCTGAGAATCACTCAAACCTGATGAGCTGTTTTCATGTTTGTAGAGAACAAGGGAACATTTCAGAAAAATAGACGGATGTCAGGGAGATTCATTTACTGGTATTAAACTGTGCTTTTTTTCTATAATCCGGCTTGTTCTACCCAGCCACTTCATGTGGAGGTTTACCTATATGACTGCCAAAGCTTTCATACATGGTCAGATTGTATATCTGACATATAAGCTTTGACTCAGATTTACCAGTAATCTTTCGGGGAACAATCTGCTTTTGGACTGGACAGAATGGTGATAAAAATGGTACTTCTGTGATTCTAGTGTTGGCCACAACATTGCAGGCTTCCCACCCGTCTTATCTGAGCCTTTCTGGATAGTGTAGGATGTACATCGAAATAACAATAACAATCATCATAATAGTAATAGTGCCCTTGAGCCTTCAGAGTCAAAATTCAGTAGATGTTCGCTTTGAGATTTGGGGGTTCAGGTGAATTGCGTCCATTTTGATATCTTTATTTGTGGATGCTGTATTTGCAGTTCCCATCATGAAGGTTCAGTTTCTACGGAGTTTTCAGTGAGGAAGCCCAGGAACCAGGCAATGCAGTAAGACTTATATCTGGCTTGAAAAATACTGGTGGATTCCCGGCCCTATTTTTGAACCGAGTGTCTGCACCTGCAGAATGCCATACGAGGAGAAGAGAGCTGTTAAAACGTAAAGAGGTTAGTCAGTCCATCAGAAAAGTGGCAGACAAGATAATGCTTAGAAGGGCTGAATTTTGTAATGTGTTTTTGTTGTTGTTCAGGAATGCTTTGTAGAAGACTGCTTTAACGACTACTTTCCCAGGCCACTCAAGGATTGATTGCTGCCTGAAACCCAGCACATTTCAGATTCTGCAGGTATTCAGAGCATTCAGAATTTATTTTGCATCCACCGACTTCCCTCCAATCTTTTCCTCTTCCTCTTTCTGATTCCTCTTCAGAACCACCATCTCCTGGGAAGCCTTTTCTAAACCTTTTCTGTGATTCCTATAACACAGGCTCACTCACCATGTACTTTTTGTGCCCAAACTATTTTATGTCTACACCAAACTATACATTTCTTGGCTCAGGGACTGTCTCTCTTCTTCATGTGTAAAACACCAAGCAAGATGCTGGTGGTTCTGAAAGAATACTTTTCTAGCTGAGAAAGGAAGCCGGGATTATCTCCCAACAGGGTGAGGAGGTGATGTATTTTGGGGACACCATTGAAGGAGTGCTTGGGGTGCCAGTCAATCTCTTTTAGTTTACTGGGGGGAGGGGGGGAGGACTTTCCATATAGGCACTTGGTCTGACTTTTAAGTAGGTCTGAGAACTGCAGCAGAAGGAATTGTGCGTAAGGTCAAAAACAACAGGAGTGTCCCTGTCTTTCTGGGCTGAATCACACTGGATTTCTCCATGATGTCATCCTCCTCCTTCTGGAGGTTTCCTGATTTAACACAGAATCCTGCCCACAATCTGCTGTTGGCCCTGTGGAACTCCCTTGCTTGGCCCTGTGAACTACTGGAAGGAACTAAGGTCAGATGGTTGTGACTCAGCCGAGTCTCATGATCTCTTTTCTTTCTCCCTTGCCTGGGGAGGAAGCCGGTAGTTATAGAGACTAGGTAATGTTTGAGAGCCGCAGTCTACCCCACCTCCCTCTTGCTTTGTTGTGGACTCAGGAGCCAGCCTGTGTCCTGACTTGCAGCCAGTTGAAGTATTCTCTCAAATCCACCCTGAACTCCAGCGCTGGGAATGTTTCAGAGCGATGGCAGGGAACTTTGATTTGAAACATGAACCGTTTTCTCATAAGCTGTCCTATCTGTGAGCAAAGAGACATAGTTAGCTGTGTTAGTCTGAAGTCAAGCAGAAGGCAGGGTTGATTTGCTAAACTTGTGGATTTAATGACTTTAGAAATGTATCTAGTACAGGCTTTCATGAGCTGGACCTCACTTCATCAGATGCCATGAAAGGACTCTTTCCATTTTATACACTGGCCTGTATATGTGCTTTCACAGCACCTGATGAATCAAACTTTGGACGTTAGGGCTGGAAGGGACCTTGCAGGATCATCGGGTTCAACCCTCCTGCCCAAGGGGCAGGAAGTCTGCTGGGGTCAGATCACTCCAGCAAAATAAGCATCCAAGTGTCTTAAAGGTGTCCAGACTAGATGCTTGCACCACTTCTGGGGGGGAGTCTATTCCAGACTCTGGGGGCTCAGACGGTAAGGAAGTTTTTTCTTATGTCCAGCCTAAAACGGTCTTCCCGGAGTTTGTGACTGTTAGACCCCGTCTACCCTTGGGTGCCCCAGTGAACAGACGTTCTCCCAGTTCATGGTGCACACCCCTTATATACTCATGCAAGCTTGTGCTATGTGTATCTGTAGTTTAGTTAGCTTATAAGGTGCAAATCTACCCTGCCTTCTTCTTCTTTTATATCACCATTCACGCAATAGTCTCCTAATATTGACCATCTGTTGGGGCCCCAGATGTGAATGGCCATAACCAGAAAAATCTCTGTGTGAGGGTGGATGCTGAAGAAATCTCTTTTTTTAAACTCACAGGCAGGGAAGAAAGTAGCAGCAATTCTTAGTATTCATATTCTGTGGTTAAATTATCAAAGGTTAGCTCTGAAATGTCAGGATTTTTACTGAGGAAACCTCATCAGTTTTCACTGGTGCAACATACAATGTTTTGTTAAGCACAGAGGATTCTGGGAAGTATTTTTGTTGCAGTAGACATAAGACATCAAAAATATGCATACGGGTGGGGGATATAAAGAATGTAGTGCACTGTGTACTTTGGCTTTATGCAATAATAATACTTCCAAAGCTGAGAGAGAGAAATGTTTTTTCCCCTCCGGTATACATACTTTACCTGACACAGAATATGTGACATGGAAAAGTTACCTGTAGCTGTTTCCTTCAATTTAAGAATTAAAATATATTATTGTATCTGATTAAGTGCCTCATTTGCAATAATCCTTTTGTTTTTCTAAGGATGATATCTTTTAGCTCTGTGCTGCGGTATGGCAGGTTCAGGAGCTAGCCTTCCAAGTACACCGTCATACAAAAAAGAACAGGAAGTGAGGTCACATGTTAGAATTATACAACAACAAACATACTCGTTAAAACAGGTCTGCATCAGAGCTGGAGGCAGATTAAAATAATCTATTGCAGTTGGGCAGGGCCAAACTAACAGAGATTTAGACACCTACAAAGTCCAAATAAGTTCAACTCGGGATATAATTTGCTGCTTCAGTTTGTCTCTAGACTCGTCAGGCATTTTCCATCTGTTTTGTACAATGCTTTTGTGGCATCCCATAGAGTTTCATAGTTTTTTCATAGTTTCATAGTTTCATTTTTTTATATAATGTATTCATACCTGTAGCCTACTTTCTTAGTCTTCTAATTTTGCTTTTCATCTTTTGTGTTAAAAATATTCAGGAATAGTTTCAAACTATGAAACTATTAAACTATTCCTGAATATTTTTAACACAAAAGATGAAAAGCAAAATTAGAAGACTAAGAAAGTAGGCTACAGATATGAATACATTATATAAAAAAATGCAACAAGATTTCTAACTGTAGTTTGTGTGTTCAGAGCTTTCAGAGAACTATGCCATGACTCTGTGGTATAATATGTAACTGAAACCAGGCCAAACCCCCTGAACTTCCTTTCAAAAATGGCATAAAAACAGATTCTAGAGAACACCTGTGCAAATTACTTTGGTATATTTTAGTGCTTTTATTTCCTCCCTTTGGAGGAATTGAAAATATTTTAAATTCCATAGTTGAACCTCTGCTTGGTGACAAGGTATTCAGTGGCGGGCCCTTTGTCCTGATATCCACTTGGCAGCACCAGATCATGAATTTGGGTTAAAATCATTCTGTTAAAAAAAAAAAAGCGATTTTTGATCTTCAGGGACTGAGTAAACTCTGTCTATATTTCTGACCCATCCCAATACCTTTTTGTTTTAACCTTTGAAAAAGCCTGGTGTAAAGCCCATCTATTTGTTCAGGCTTTTGTGTGACCAGGGAATGATTGTGGAAATTGCAAAGATCTGCATCCCAGGACAAAAATCTAACTTTTTGTGTGGTTATTAGTATTATTCTAGAGAGAGAGAGAGAGAGAGAGAGAGAGAGAGAGAGAGAGAGAGTGTGTGTGTGTGTGTGTGTGTGTGTGTTACACACCCCAGCGCACCCAGTGACAGCACCATATCTAGACTCCTGGCAGTCCTGGGTGAACTTTTAGCATTGGGCCCCCCTTCACCAGAAATAATGATGATAAAAAAATAATAATTATAATAATGAAAATTACCATTTTTGGGCCCCCTTTCTGGCAGCCACCCAGTTTAGCCATGCTTATTTCTAGCCCTGCCTTGTAACAGTTGCATTTTGCTAGAGTTAAAATAAGTAAATGGCATTTGTTGCACTAATCTGTGTGTACTTGCTGTAAACCATCATGTGGCAACAAAGTGTGTGTGTGTGCATGTATACTTGTTTTAAACCCTCACATAGCAAACAAAATGTGCATTGATAAACCTGAATTGACACTCAAGAGGTCCATAGTTCTTGCCAGATTCTTCATAGTTCCTCGGAAGGGTTGAAACATTCGGTATCTCATAAAAGGAGGCTCAGCATGTCTGAAATCGGCCACTTTGAGAATGTGGTATATGAGATCCATGCTGCGTGGATTCCCTCGTGTCGGGCTGTGTTTCCTGCTCCAGGCTTCACTTTGTGCAGGAAAAGTCAATAAACTTTTCTTGCTGCCAGAAGAGCTCCCTCTACTGATTTGCTTCAGTCAGATTCCAAGAGAGTCTGGGAGGAGAGTTTTTGGATTCAGTGTGCCCTGTGTGCTGTAGAGGTCTTAAGGAGGCAGCTCTGGACAGGAGCCTCTTGTGTAGGAATGAATGATTTAACTGTAGTTCAGCACTCTCATCGCTGCTTTTCTTACTAGGCGTCACCTTTAACAGTTATGAAAGGTGCCATTCTAAAGTCCTTAATTTATTGCCCAGAAAAAAAAAACGCTAAGTTTGTGGGAACCCCTTCAGTCTTCTCCCCGTAGAGGTGGAAGAAGCAGCATCTCTGGGGCACAGTCAGTACTTGCTCTCTGATCAGAAGTCCAGATCCATCAGTTATGGCACTCCTTGTGAAGACATCTGCTCACAACCAGCATATATTTCAAGGGGCCACATGGCTGGATTTAAACTTGCAACGCAGGTGACAGAAGTTAGATGCAAATATCTCCATTTTTCTGTCCGGTCCTTAACAAGATGTTACCTTACAGTACTGCCTACGTACTTAGCTGTACTTGAATCCCTTGTACATGGGCTCTGATCAAGCTCCTTCTGTTTTGCTTTGTTTACAGACAAAACTTGTTTCAGTCTGTTGAGAAGGTGGTGGGGCTGTAAACCCAAGGCATCAAAATCCATCTGTGATGTAACGATCCAGTTGGCCTTACATCAATACGGTTGGCCCCAAGAACAGAAAAAAACTCAGACAAAATAATTTCCAAATCAGATTTCTGCTGGGCTCAAACACCTTAAGGTTGCACCCTTCCGGTGTCAAGTCCTTTAAAAAACGATGTTGCTCTTCCAGACAGTAGCCTCCATTTGCCAAGTTCATCCATCATTGATTTCCCGTCAGTGGACATTAGATGCCATTTCCTTAATGAAGATGAAATGGCAGCAGACAGGCCATGGTGCTCAGGACATATCTACCTCCTAACATGCCTATAATGCTCTGCTGGCGCCAAACACACCTGCAGGGACCTCAGCGACTACATTTACTTAGGCTGTGGCTTGCTGTAGGATGAGCGGATGACAACTTTATTGAACCCACTAAATCAGCTGCATGTTTTATCGTCTAGGAGCTGGCTACGGTGTTGGTATAGCGTATGGTACAAGCATCTATCAATCCAAAGTAACTGCTTTCATTTCAAGGGGTTGTGCCATTTCGGCAGTCCTGGTTTCCAAATGGATATAGTTAAAGCGGCACAAAATCCTGTGTAGACCAACCCCAAGTATTTCCCCAGCAACTAAATCACAGGCAAAGGGGATTTCTTCTATGCTCACCATTCAGTTTGTCTACAGAGCAGGGGTATGCAGCCCCTGGCATGGGTGCCAGAGCGTGGCACGCGACAGCACTTTGCTCGGCACACATGGCTCGGGGTGGGCGGCAGGGAAGGGGCCGGGGCCCCGCGGAGTCCGACGGCTTACAAGTCAGGGTCCCGGGGGTGGCACGCTGTCCCAAAAGCACTGCCGACCCCCGCCATGGGCTCGGCTAGGGCAGCCGCCGTAGAGGACGTGCCGTTATCTGCTACTCTGTCCCCCGTCGAGACGAAATCCGACGCCTTGACGTCCTCCGTTTGCCTCCTCGAGAAAGAGAAGACATTTTTCTCTTGGAGGGAAAAACAGAGGGCATATGCACGTCCGGCGAGCCCCTCGCTCAAGGCAGAGGACAGTCTTCTTGTCCTGTCAGTACGAAACCGGACGCCTTGACGTCCCGTGTTTTTCTCTCGGAGACAAAAACGCGTTCTCTTTCTGGAAGAGAAAGACGGAGGACGCGGAGGCATTGGGTCTCGTATCAGCACGGGACAACCGGACTGTCCCCTGCGGCGACTCCCTTGGCGACACCTTTACGTCCTCGGTTTTTCTCTTCCAGAAAGCGAACACATTTTTTTTCTCTTCAAGAGAAAAACACAGGACATAACGGCGTCCGGCGAGCCTCCCGCCTAGGGCGGCCTCCTCCCCAGCGGAGGGCAGCGGCCCGGCCCGGGCTCCTCCCGCCTGAAGGCCACGACGCGGCAGCTCGTCCCCGGGCTCCGCGGCGCTGAGGAGGGA